GCACCACTCGCAAATTATACCGTACATCCGGCTGTACGGAAAAAACCATACAGCCGGCAATTAATTAGGGCGAATGGATCGGCCACGAAGGAGGCTGCGCGATGGATTCCCGATCGGCAATTCCTGATGAAGGAGGCTGCGCGGCAATGAAGATGGAGGTTGTTGATGAAGGTCTTCTGCGGACATGGGCGGATCCACTCAATAACTAATGGGGGCACTTGCCCCCAATCAAATTTAGTTTTTATTTAATCAATACATTAAAATTTCTCTAAAAATTAATATTGTCCTCAATGAAGAAAAATCTGCCCCCAATGAAAAAAAATGTTCAAGTAAAATATTATTTAAACTTTTTTCAAAACGAACAAATTATTTAAACGTAAAATAAAAAAAATAAATACTAAAAAATAAAAATTAAACTATAATATTACTAGAAGATAATTTTAAAATAAAAATTTCAAGAGAAAGTAAAATTATAGAGAGTACTTTTGAGATTTTTCATTATTTATTTCAATGTTTTACTCTACTCGTTTCATAAAACGAATCATATTTTGACTCTAAAGAGAGACAAACAATGTATATTTGTGGTTGACTTCTCAGTTTTGCCCTTGATGTGATTGGTAAAAGTAATATGTGATAGACAAATATAGATAATTATTGAAAAAGTATGATGTGATATGTAGGTAAAGAAAAAGTAGGGGTAAATGTAATTTTTTGATAGAAAATGGAAGTGTTTTGGAAAAACAAAAAAATTAAAAAGGTAGTGTTTTAAGAAAACGAGGGAGTATTAAAAAAATATTTTTTATAATTTTCTTTAATTTAATAAAAAACGAGGGCGCTATCTTCGAACTATCTTACTCCTAGTCGCTCCAAATCCTTGATCCGCCACTGTCTGCGGAGGTTGTTAATGAAGATGGAGGTTGTTGATGAAGATGGAGGTCGTTGGATTTCCGATCAATTCTGCTTCCAGTTGCTCGCGATGGTCTTTCGCACTTCCTAGAGGCTTCCATTTACCATATTTCAGACATATGATTATATGAATGGTAGGTTGTTTAAGATTGAGTACTAGGTTATATGGGAATGAGTACTACTGTCTTTAATATTATGTTATTCGTAAATGAATATTGAACAAATTTGTGAAAGTGAGTACGACGTTATTACTGCTTTATTTCAGAATGAGTACCACGTTTTTCAAATGAACCATTATGCTCTGTCCCCTCTCTTTCTTATAAATATATGTGTAACCCTCAAAGGAAGGGATCCAAATTCTTCTCTCTAGAATCCTTGAGTAATAGCTCTCGTGCACTTAACGATATTCTAATAACAATTGGGCTACAGATGTTTCCACCTACAATCCTCCTAGTTAAACGTTGTGTTTACTCCTTTTTACATCCTGAATCCAGTAAACAATTCTAGACCCAGTCTAGAACTGTTTACTCAGTGGTTAATTTACACCATCAATCGTGATCTATGATGGTCGATCGTCAATGATGATGACTTGTGGTGACGCACGGTTGAATGAAAATAGCTATGTTTTTTAAGAGAGAGACCTTAGCTTTGATACCATGATATAATTTGATAATAATTCATCTTGTTGAATAATAAAAGTTCTACCCCTATGTATAAGAAAAAAAATAGGGATTTCTAACTAAAGTAAGAAACCAAAAAAAGTAGGAAAAGTAAATATGGTAATCACATAATATAGAAACTAGAATAATGATATGGAAACTTAATAATATTTTCTAATACTTCTACTAATGTTGAAATATTAGAACAATAAGTTTACTTAAAAGTAAATGTTCCACCCCTATGTATAAGAAAAACATAGATAGGGATTTCTAACTAAAGTAAGAAATCGAAAAAAGTAGGAAAAATAAATATGGTAATCACATAATATAGAAACTAGAACAATGATATAGAAACTTAAGAATATTTTCTAATACTTCTATTAATGTTGGAATAATAGAATAATAAGTTTACTAAAAATAATGGAGAAAACAAGAGAGTATATATGGGAACCATTCCTAACACAAGTAGATACGAACCCAATAAACGTTAATAAATGTATTTTTTTCTATTCTTTTCTAAATGTTCTAAGGTAATAAATCTTAGGTCGCTCCTTTTTTTATTTCTTTGTTTTTCTTTCATTTTGTTACTATTTTTTAAAGTGTTATTTTAGAATTTCTTCAATAAAATCGTATAAAAATTCAAAATTGTTTGTATTATATTAAAACAAATGAAATAAAAAAATTCAAAAAAAAGAAAAAACAAGGTAATGGCAAAATAGGAAAAAATGGTATTGGAAATATAGGAAAAAAAATACATTTATTAACACTTATGGATGATGTATTGGAAGAAATGTCCCCTCCCAGTTATTACAACAAAATATAAGGACCTCGGTTGTCTTTTTAAAAATAGAGGGACCTGAAAGTTATTTCGACAAAACTCGCGTCACCCGCTAGTAATTTATTGCCATGATTAATATTAATATTATTTTGATTATTATTATTATTATTATTATTATTATTGTTGTTGTTGTTGTTGTTGTTGTTATTGTTGTTGTTGTTGTTGTCATCATCATCATCATCATCTAACAGAACAAAAAAACTTAACCCACCCAAGGTACCAAGCATAGTATGATCTTATTTTAAGATCTTTGCAAAAGTAAGTTAATCACATATTATCCAAACTTTGATAAATTGACACTCTAGACAATTAATGGTTTTTTTTAGAGCTATTTAGAAATATTGAAGGTGCTTTGGTCAATTTTCGACACTGTCAATGTGGAGGTTTCTACACATAACAAGATCTTAACAAAAGTACGTTAAACACAAACAATCAAAACTTTAATGAATTGAGACCCCATAAAACGTATGGTCTTTTAAAACCTATTTGGAACTACTGAAGGTGCTTTGGTTGATTTTGGGCATTGTGGATGTGGATGGTTTCGGGCATAGTATGGTCTTATTACAAGATCTCCACAAAAATATGTTATGCAGATATATATATATATATATATATATATATATATATATATATACATACACACATACATACACACACACACACACACACACATATATATATATCGCGTGTGTGCGTAGAGTTGTTCGCTAGAATGTGCGTAAATTGCGTGTGTGATAATAAGAGAAAAATCGCAGGAAAATTGTAAAGAGCAAGGGAAAAGAGTACACCGTGATTTATACTAGTTCACCACCTCATGGCTAGTCCAGTCCTCCGAGAGACTCCCTCAAAGTAACTACTAAACTTCAAGCTTCAACGGGTGCTTGAAAAACCGATACAACTCAAGAACTTGAATCACACAAGCCACAACTTCTTACAACAAGACTTGAGTCACACAAGTCTTAACAACAACAAGACTTGAATCACACAAGTCTTAGCAACACTCAAAAGATTGAGTTTACAACACAAGAATGAAAGCTCACACAATTGAGCAAGAAGTGTTGAAATATGAAAGCTCTATGGATGACAATATCTTTAGCACTCAATAAAAATATTTCTAACTCTCAAAATAATATATATGATGAGGAAGATGGAAGCAAGAATTGAATATATATCAATGGAGGTTTTGGAGTGCAAGAGATGTTTTTAAAATGAAGGAGAATGAGGGATTAAATAGGCAGAAGGAGATAGAACCGTTGGAGCCACTGAACGAAACTGAGAATTGGCACCAGGTAATATTAATCGATTAAAGTAGAGGGTTTAATCGATTAAAAAGGCTCTGATAGAAAATGTCTTCTGCAAAGGTGGAATTAATCGATTAAAAATAATAGGAAAATCGATTAGAGAGCTCTGTGTGAACTAATCGATTAAAGGGAAAAGGAAAAATCGATTAGACCAAAGACCTGAGTAATCCTTCGCAAGGCAAAACTTAATTAATCGATTAATCAATAGATTTTAATCGATTAATCAAAACAAAATTAGGTAAATCGATTAAGGTGAGAATTTTAATCGATTAGATTTGAAATGGTTCACAAACATAAAGGCCCCAAGCCAGTTGCGAGAAGAGAGTCTAAAATGTCTTAACACATTTGTTTGAGACAAGAGGAATAAGAGAGAGCGCTCCTCCTCTTTATTTAATGAATTTGAATAAGGGAGTAAAAGTGAGTCCAAAAATTATTTTGTGTGTCAAATGGTGTACACGAAAATTATTTAGTCTATTTTTCTTACCACAAAAATATTTGCGTATCTTTAAAAAGTATTTTAAAAATTTTTGACACACTATTTTGAAACTGACTCAGTGAATTATTTTAGACAGAGAAAAAATGATTTTTCAACCGACTCAGAAAATAATAATTTTTATCCCTCAAAAATTAATGTGTTTATGCAAAAGTTATTGTCATCCTTACAAAAAATTTCGAGACTCAGAAAAAAATAAAAAGTCTTCGGAGTCTTCACTTCACTTCAAAGATCTGCATAGGGGTGAGCGTTGATTTTTATCGCCGTAAATTTCTTGATACGTCTCTTTGCGTTTTTCGATACGAAAAATACATTTCCGATCATCGTTGAATTTAATCATCCTGTTTGTCATTTATCAAAACAAAAATATTCCACAAAAATAATAAAGGGATTTGAACTCATGTCCAACAATTTCCCCCTTTTTTGATAAAGACAAACATAGTTGAGAAATAGCAAAGGTGAGTTCAAGAAATACATCCCTTAAAATAATTCCCCCCTGCATGGTTAGAGAAGTACAGTAAAAAAAATTCGGAGTAATAAGCGGAAAAACGTTTTTTAAAAACAAGTTTTCTCAACTATCCTTCCTTCCCCCTTTTGGCATTATCAACCGATAACCTTCCCCCTTAATTGATGCCGGGATTTTGAAGGATAGTAAAAAAAATTTGCAAGAGTTTTCTTTAAAAGAGAACTCCTAACAAAATGCCACAGGACGAGCAATATGTTCTTGAAACAATAACAATATTACCAAACCAACAATGATATCAATACACAATGATAATTAACATCATCCATAAACCAATTAACAACAAACCAAAGCAACCTCATCATCCACCAAAAGAGTCATAGAAACAATAACAATTAATAATGTATCATAATAAGTCATCACAAAAACAACGTCAATAGAATCAAAGAGAATGGGCCGGACGAGCTCCTCCGCTAAAGTTGTGACGCGGACCACGGAAGGAGCAGGATTGCTCGAAACGAGTCATCCTCTCGTTGAGCTGGCAAACGTCATCTCGAATGCATGTGAGAGTGTCAAAGATCCTCTTCACCCAAGAAGGTTCCGGTGCTTCTTCTCTCGGACGAGTCCTGCGTTGACGAATGATGCGTTCTGTGGTTCGACATCCTCCGGCACGAGACAACTCTGCTTCGTTCTCGCTCTCCTTTTCGTCTGCAACAACCAGGTCCAGATTTTGCTTGCCGGTTGTCTCTTTACGGGAGACAGTCCGGGTGAACTTGGTGTCCTTTATGAAACAAGTCATCTTCACCGGCACCCGAGTGTCCCGAGTAATATCCACTTTGCAGTGAGCAAGGATATGCATGATAGGGATTGCAAAGCGAAGATGTGAAAAGCGAGTACCATTACTAAGTGCAATAAGAAAGAAATGAACCCAACCAAATTTGCATTGTTCAACAGGACGTGAAACAATCAAATGTAGTCCTTGTTGACAACGCCATGGTTCGAATCACGGGACAACAAAACATAAGAGAAGATGTATTGTTGGACGCGTTGAATCAAAGTGAGGTTAATGACACTCGGGTTGTAACGCCCCAAAACATACCCTAGAATTATTAATGAATAAATAATCAATTAATCAAATTTGTTTTGATTAAAATAAATTATTGTTGGGATTTGGGCCGATATGAAATGTGTTTTGACATCCAATATCTTAATCTGGATAAATCTCATAGAGATAAATCCAATATGTTGACTAATTGTGTAATTTTGGTTGGGAATCTGAGTACAGACCCAAAATCAGTAATAAATGAATAATGTGTTTATGATGTAAACTTTAATATGATTTATTGAAATAAATCATGAGAATAAATAATATGAATTTAGTATGAGCACCTTTTTAGGTAAAGGTCAAATAAATCAATTCTGACTTGGTCAAAGTCAAACACCCAAAAAAATATGATGTTGGAAAAAGTGTTACAAATAAATATAAAAATTATATCGTTGGATAGAGTTTAACTGTCAGATCGCAACGGTGCAAACGGATTTCAATTCGGAGAAAGTTGGACCAAAAAGTGTACCCCGACTCGGACCGAATTAGTCCCAATTAGAGAAGTAAAGTGCAGAATCGCCTAAAAATCACATCTCCGCCGAATGAGAACGTGAATTGGGAATCCTACACAGCAGCAACTCATCTTCCCTGTTTTCTTCTCTTTTCCTCTTGCTATATAAGAAACTCCATTCTTCTCATTTCTTCACCAATCTCATTTCTTCTCATTTCTATATAGTTTAATTGAAGTTCGGTGACGAAAAATGGTATTTCCGAAAAATGGACCGAAGGTTGAAGAAGATGAACAAGAGCTGAAAACTTGCAGGGTGGATCGATCATATCAGTTGGATCGATCACCTGGGCAAATCTTTTACAGTCTGGATCGATCCAGACTACTGGATCGATCCAGACTACTGGATCGATCCCCCGAAACTTTGATCCGAAAATTTGTCCGAAAATGCTATTTTTGAGCTCTAAAATCCTATTTTTGATACCAATTGATTATGATCATTATTAAAATGATTTACCACAATAAAAAATGATGTTTTTAACAAATAAAAACATTATGTGTCGCATGACGGTAAGTTCGGGTGTTAACACTCGAAGCTAGGCCGCTATTTGCTATCGAATGATATGTTGATTGATGATTATGATGAATGATTATTATGGTTATGACTTGATGAAACCATTGATTAAAATGATTGTTGAGGATTAAATTATGAATTGAAATGAATATGTTTATGATTATGAAATGATTTGGATTGTAAAGATATCTAGAAGAACTCTACGATATACCTAGATTGACGTTGGTTTCTAATACTATCTAGAAGACCTCTAAGATAGTTTAGAAATAGGCCTTGCGGGTATAATTATGAATATTCGGTGGCCTGGGTTAAAACGTACGTACGGGATCTACAAACCAAACTAGAGGAACTCGTTTGGGGATACCACCCAACCCGACAGTTAGTATTCTACTGTTCGGTTTTATGGATTTGTACCTTAAGCGAAGGCTAGTTTAAGAGTTGGTAAATCGGTCGGAAAATATGTACCTTAAACTAATCGGTCGGAATATAGTTTAACTATATTAAACTAGAATTCGTTTAAGAGTTGGTAAGCATTAGACAGATTGGCCTTAGATTAAGAATAGTTTAAGGATATTGTTGAATGACAAAAGATGAATATTTTATGACGAATGTTGAATAAAAATGTTGAATATGGATGATGAATATACATGTTGAATGATTGAATAATGAATGTTGAAAATTGAATATTGATTTTTGAATATTTGAACTGAACATTATGTGCATGATATCAAATGATTTGTTTATGAATTGAGATTCTGTTTATATGGATGTTCGACGCATTAGATATGCTTACTCAGCTTTATCGCTGAGCGTGTAGTATGTTTTACTTGCTACACGTAGGTTAATAGAAAGAATGATGTGACGTGATCTTGAAGGCAGACGGAGGCGAGATTGTCGGAATGGATGTGATGGTTTTAATTATGTTTGTGATTATGATTTGTTAAGCTTCCGCAATATTTTCGAATACTCCGTACTGTATATGTTATAAAAAAATATTATTGTGATAAATAAAAGTGTTTGAAAAGTTTTTAAATTTTACGATTACCAAGTTAATACTTTAGTTTGAAAGGGGCTGCAGACCTGGACGGATTAGGGTGTTACATTTTGGTATCAGAGCAAATGGTTTTAAACCCAATCTTCGGATCGAATTTGATTTTTTTAAAAAAAAAATGTCAATCACATTCACGACTCTCGCATCCCTCTGCTCTAGGAAAGGTATGAGAATTTACTAGGTAAATATTGACTTGTTAAAATTCTCAATAGAGAATAATTGTTAGTACTGAAATTATATCGAGCATAGACTCAAGTAGATTTTTCGTACTCGGTGAAGAGACGAAAGAATTAAAAAAATTATGACTCCCTGATACGTTGTCAACATACTTATCGCATCGCGAATGATGAAACTGATCGGTCTCGTAAAGTCGCTTAGAAGTTAGACGACTATGAAGAAACAATTAATGTTGAATAACATCTATGAAGCTGCTGTCAAAGATCCTCACGTGGACTGAAGACGATCGGATCGCTGATTCAAACACGAACATTTAGAATCAATAAACTCTATTGTTTAAAAGTGTCCCATTCTGATGTCTAACTCATTACGACGCAAATATGCAATTATATCATACGAATCGAAATCGTTCGTTAAGCAAAAATTCCTTGCAAAACGTCGTCAAAATACCATACAAGGAAATTGACGTTATCCTTATTCCTTAGTATACATTGGCTGACTGAACATTGTAGCTGTTGACAACTTGTAATGAAGAATTCTTCAACTGGAGATCAATGATGGTTACCTCATAGAGGTGAAAGCAAAGCTGATTTCTAGATCGACCGAGTTCATCTCAAATATACACGCAAAAACGTCTCAACCGTAAGAAATGTGAAGTCTATTCATACGATACGCGAACAGAAACATCTAAGCTGAAAGAATGTAATGAAAGTACGTCACTGCTGTAATATAAAATTTCTAATATTTCACCGTTCCGAGAAATTGAATTCTCTGTCAATCTTGATCCTAGAAAGGACCAATATTCGTAACTCCGTATTGAATTTGTTTCCATCGAAACTGAAAACTAAACTATAAAGATTACGTGACAAAGAATCGTCTGATCAAGTGATTCCTCCTTAAGAGAATACTTGTTCTGTTCATACGCGAATAAAGAAGAATCTATGAGACTCTGTATCAACTATTGTCAATGAACAATTCGTTATCCTTTAACTCGTATCGATGACTTATTTGATCAGCTTAGAGGATCCATTGTGTTCTCTAAGATTGACTTATGGTCAGGATACTAAGGATTCTCTGTTAGGAAACTTGAACAAACTGACGATCAAGAATCACTACTCCTTACTTTGAAATGGACTCATTTGTATGCGCTATAAACATGAAAGATCACGACGTGGTGATGATACAAAACAAGACAGTGAAACCAACAGTGAAAGACTGAAGAATGAAGAAAATGTAGCTCGCACTAGCCATACAGCCTAGGAGAATATTTATGGATAATATCATTGCAACATAAGATACAACTTGGATTACAAAAGGAAAGTTACAGATGCAATTCTAAGTCTAGTCTTACATGATTCACAAACTCATCGTAACTAACCCCTGGACCCGGGAAAGCTTTAACAAACTCTAGTTTGTCTAAAAGCTCATCGACAAAGAAAGAAGAAATGAAAAGTTTCCTCTAACTCAAAGACATGAAGTTCTGCCTCACCGCATCATCTAGAAATTTGATTAGGTTGTTGAAATAACCGCCAATGTTCAAGAGACCAATGGGTCTATTGTGTAACCCTTCAGAAGCCCACGAGATCAAGGTAAACAAACCTTCCATAGTGTCAACTCCTCCGGGAAGAACAATGAAAGCTTCCACGGCATGATTCATTTCAAAATATTTGTAGTAATTACTGGGAACTGTATGCTCTACACCGTATGTAGGTTCATAGACACGTCGTGTTGCTATGTACCCAGGAGTGAAACCTCTAACGAGACCACCATTGGTAAAGACTGTTGAAGCAACTGCTCCTTGAAGGCCAACACTACCTCCTCCATAGGCAAGTTTAATCTTTCGCCTTATCAATTCCCTTCCTAAATCTACCGCAGTAGCCATAAACTTTGGATTTCTACAAAGAGAATGACTGCCAAGAAGACCAACGAATCTTATAGTGTAAGGAAGTGTTCGAGAAGTTCTTTCCATAATGTGAGAATGTGAGATACTCTTTCTATAATCATAATATATATAGCCTCAGAATCCTAACCACTGATGGAAAGGTAATTGTCACCAGCCAAAATACGTACAGTAAAATGTATTCAATATACCTACAAACAAGAACGTACTCGCTAATATTATAGTCTGCTGACGATATGATGTATTGAGACCAATGAATAGTTAGATTCGCTATCCTGAAATACGATCAAATCCGAGACGAATAGTCAAATGACTATTTCCTAAGACAATGACTCCTTGAGTAACTTTCAAAGAGTGAAACATTGAGGGATGAAAACTTACGATTAGTAACGATAATTCGCAAACGTTATCTTTGTATCTTCTGATTCATACCCTTGAAATACTCAAACTTATTGTGTTGATCACACTCTTGAAACATCCCATTTGACCAATCTTGAAAATATTGAATTCCATTACTGGTATCAAGATATTGAACCATGAAAAATTTGTATTAACTCACAATTCTTCATTCAATCCCCAAGATCCTTTTTGATATCGATCTTCGAAAACTATACTCTGTGAACTACGTGACTCGATCACAATGATGAGTGTACCCTGACTTGAACATTATGTCAAACCTTTCTTTGTGAACTACAAAACGGTTGATGCAATTACGTTATCTATGAAGGATATTACCGATGATCTCTTTGACCAAACAAACTCCATCATGACCCTAGAAAGGGAATGTATGTGCGACAACCAGAGAAGAAATGACGTCAGAATGATCAAGCTGAATAATTCAAACAAAATCCCAAATTTACATGCGATGTTGGTGTAAGAACTCATACAATTCCTTACTCTTTGAATTCGTGAATTGAATCACGTACTGAAGATGTTCTCTTCTTTCCTCAAAACGAGAGTAACCATAGTATAACAATCTAATTTGTCGCTATCATGAACGTATCTTGATCAATGAAGAAGGTTGAATACGACAAGACATATATGAAATGCCACTCGAATATTATCACCGGTGGATGCGAATTAATGCAAAGACTCATTAGTGATAATGAGAGCTACCATGAAGTGAATGAAGAAATGCTTTGACATAAGATCAATGATGACAAGTACTTCCTCATAAATGATGATGAATCCCATATTATGAACTGATACAAGCCATTTGATGTTATTTACAAGTCATTGCTAAACTATGTGAATGATGTGAAGATGTTCTAGATGACTTTGAAGATTACGCTATGACGTATGAAATGAAAACAAGCTCTAATTCCCCAAACTGTACATACTGTGAATATAAACTGCAAAGGCTTTTGAATAACTCTCGATCAAAGGGAGAATATCGTTAACCGACGTTGTATAACTGGAAATTGAGAATAAATGAAGTTTTGTGCAACCCTATACATCGTAAAGAAACTAAGGTTGTTGATACTAAAAGATCACTGAAATGCTTGACTTAATCAAAGATTGTTAATCTCTCAAAGAAAGAACGAGTTTGATAAGATCGATAGTTTGAGAATACGTATCCGTGTGGATAAGTACTGATTATGTTTTAACCGAATAAACATGACACGGTCATGATTAAGTGTGGTCAGAACAAAATGTTGAACGTTGAGCCTTAGAAGAATTTCGAGAACGACATTCCTTTAAGGGGGGAGAAATGTAACGCCCCAAAACATACCCTAGAATTATTAATGAATAAATAATCAATTAATCAAATTTGTTTTGATTAAAATAAATTATTGTTGGGATTTGGGCCAATATGAAATGTGTTTTGACATCCAATATCTTAATCTGGATAAATCTCATAGAGATAAATCCAATATGTTGACTAATTGTGTAATCTTGGTTGGGAATCTGAGTACAAACCCAAAATCAGTAATAAATGAATAATGTGTTTATGATGTAAACTTTAAAATGATTTATTGAAATAAATCATGAGAATAAATAATATGAATGTAGTATGAGCACCTTTTTAGGTAAAGGTCAAATAAATCAATTCTGACTTTGTCAAAGTCAAACACCCAAAAAAATATGATGTTGGAAAAAGTGTTACAAATAAATATAAAAATTATATCGTTGGATAGAGTTTAACTGTCCAATCGCAACGGTGCAAACGGATTTCAATTCGGAGAAAGTTGGACCAAAAAGTGTACCCCGACTGGAACCGAATTAGTCCCAATCAGAGAAGTAAAGTGCAGAATCGCCTAAAAATCACATCTCCGCCGAATGAGAACGTGAATTGGGAATCCTACGCAGCATCAACTCATCTTCCCTGTTTTCTTCTCTTTTCCTCTTGCTATATAAGAAACTCCATTCTTCTCATTTCTTCACCAATCTCCTTAGAATTAGTACCATTGTGTTCATGGTGAAGTAGAGAGTTCAATTGTGCTGTCAATTTGGGTGAAGTCGCCAGAGCTAGCCACAAACCTCGCCGGAAGTTTCGCCGGAATATTGTCAAAACCTCAGTTATGCTTCGAGGTAAGCCCGTAGATATATCTAGTTACTAGAATGTTCGTATAGATCGTTTCTACGTTCATAAACGATCGTTTGGTTGAGTTTTGTGTTTGACATGTTTGAAGAACCAAGAATCATAAACCTTGAATTTGATGTTAAAAATATGTTTTAATAATTGAAAAATGATCTATGAACCTTGGAAAGTGCAGAATCGCCTAAAAATTACATCTCCGCCGAATGAGAACGTGAATTGGGAATCCTACACAGCAGCAACTCATCTTCCCTATTTTCTTCTCTTTTCCTCTTGCTATATAAGAAACTCCATTCTTCTCATTTCTTCACCAATCTCATTTCTTCTCATTTCTATATAGTTTAATTGAAGTTCGGTGACGAAAAATGGTATTTCCAAAAAATGGACCGAAGGTTGAAGAAGATGAACAGGAGCTGAAAACTTGCAGGGTGGATCGATCATATCCGTTGGATCGATCACCTGGGCAAATCTTTTACAGTCTGGATCGATCCAGACTACTAGATCGATCCCCCGAAACTCTGATCCGAAAATTTGTCCGAAAATGCTATTTTTGAGCTCTAAAATCCTATTTTTGATACCAATTGATTATGATCATTATAAAAATGATTTACCACAATAAAAATGATGTTTTTAACAAATAAAAACATTATGTGATGCATGACGGTAAGTTCGGGTGTTAACACTCGAAGCTAGGCCGCTATTTGCTATCGAATGATATGTTGATTGATGATTATGATGAATGATTATTATGGTTATGACTTGATGAAACCATTGATTAAAATGATTGTTGAGGATTAAATTATGAATTGAAATGAATATGTTTATGATTATGAAATGATTTGGATTGTAAGGATATCTAGAAGAACTCTGTGATATACATAGGTTGACGTTGGTTTCTAAGACTATCTAGAAGACCTCTAAGATAGTTTAGAAATAGGCCTTGCGGGTATAATTATGAATATTCAGTGGCCTGGGTTAAAACGTACGTATGTGATCTACAAACCAAACTAGAGGAACTCGTTTGGGGATACCACCCAACCCGACAGTTAGTATTCTACTGTTCGGTTTTATGGATTTGTACCTTAAGCGAAGGCTAGTTTAAGAGTTGGTAAATCGGTCGGAAAATATGTACCTTAAACGAATGATCTAGCTTAAGAGTTGGTTAAAAGTACCTTAAACTGGAATATAGTTTAACTATACTAAACTAGAATTCGTTTAAGAGTTGGTAAGCATCAGACAGATTGGTCTTAGATTAAGAATAGTTTAAGAATATTGTTGAATGACAAAAGATGAAAATTTTATGACGAATGTTGAATAAAAATGTTGAATATGGATGATGAATATACATGTTGAATGATTGAATAATGAATGTTGAAAATTGAATATTGATTATTGAATATTTGAACCGAACATTATGTGCATGATATCAAATGATTTGTTTATGAATTGAGATTCTGTTTATATGGATGTTCGACGCATTAGATATGCTTACTCAGCTTTACCGCTGAGCGTGTAGTATGTTTTACTTGCTACACGCAGGTTAATAGAAAGAATGATGTGACGTGATCCTGGAGGCAGACGGAGGCGAGATTGTCGGAATGGATGTGATGGTTTTAATTATGTTTGTGATTATGATTTGTTAAGCTTCCGCAATATTGTTGAATACTCCGTACTGTATATGTTATAAAAAAATATTATTGTGATAAATAAAAGTGTTTGAAAAGTTTTTAAATTTTACGATTACCAAGTTAATACTTTAGTTTGAAAGGGGCTGCAGACCTGGACGGATTAGGGTGTTACACGGGTTACTAGAATTTCTGAACTTGAGGTCACGATGATCTAACCCGAGTTGTTTCCAAATTGCCTCATCTTGGAATGTTTCATCCAAGTTATCGTTAATTTCACCTCTACGAAGACTAAAGAGAGTGTTCAAACCGGCACTGTCAACAAAAACGGTTTTGCCATCAATATAGGAGATGATAGATGGCGAGTTTTCCAAAGTTGTACGAAGATTAGTGTAAAATTGACGTATAAGATTTGGACAAAAGAATTCATACTACAAATGAATAAAACGGAGCAAACCTTGCTGTGAGAAAAGGGACTTGCTCGGGGCATAGGTTGCCGTCTTGAAGAGTTCCTTGTCCACAATCTTCGGTGGAATAATCTCCTTCGTGAGAAAGATGTTGTGGAATCTCTCGACCGATGCTCTAGTGTTGAAGGCGAGACCAGTTTGAATGTGAATGTACTTGCTGCCGTCACGACGCCACGGACGGTCCTCTTCTTCAGCCAATTCTTGACGCGAGGTAGGGTTCTTGCACCTTGGCATCTTTCCTCTTTGAAATTGATGAAATTTGGTGAAGAAAGGGATGAAATTGATGATGAGATTCTGTAAAAAGAAATGGCGAAGAAGACGAAGACGGTCTGATTTTGTAAAACAAAAAACCGAAAATGAATCGATTAAAAAACGATGTGTAATCGATTAGGTTTGTGATGGATAAAAAATCAATTATATGAATGGTATTAATCGATTAGAGAATGAAGCGAGGTCCAGAAAGTTTGCACTAATAGATCTAATCGATTAAGGAGAAGTTCATTAATCGATTAGGAGGCCCAGAGGGGTCTAATCGATTTCTATACGAAGAAGTAATTGATTAAAAAACATTTTGACAGATAAATAAAAAAGATCATCAAGTTCAATTCGGATTTGATACCAAGGGAAGAGATACCTGAAAGAAAGGCCCTGCAAAAAAGATTTATTGCGCCTCCGACGCTCAAATTAGTAAAGTCAATAAAAGAATGAATTAATTCATAGAGATATCCAAAATGCAAAGTTCGTTCTGAATGTGGAAGAAACTCTCTACTAAGGGGTTTCGTGAGAATGTCCGCCAATTGATGTTTCGTTTCAAGAAACTCAATTGTGGTATCTCCCTTTTGGACATGATCTCGTATGAAGTGATGCCTAATTTCCGTGTGTTTAGTCCGCGAGTGAAGAACGGGGTTCTTCGTTAGACTAATAGCACTCATATTGTCACACCTAATTGGGATGTGATCAAGTATAAGGCCAAAATCTACTAGTTGCTATTTTAGCTAAAGAATTTGGGCACAACAACTTCCCGTAGTGACATATTCCTTTTTGGTTTAGGTACCCATGTATTGTTGGATCCTTTTTGGTTAGCATATGTGCGATGTGTGTGCGTTTGTTGGAAATGCCTAAGTTTGGTGAAGCACACGGGTGCAATGTGACCTATCTTGTTGCAATAATGACAAATAACATTCGGGTTCTTCATCCTATACGGTTGTGTGAAATGCATTCTAGGTTTGCTAGAAGGTGCTATTCTATTTTGATTATTAGTCCTAGTCATTTTATTTCCTTTAGGCTTAACAAAAGTTGTTTTTCTAGGTGTGTTTTTCTTATATCCAAGTCCTTCACCATTACTAACTTTTTGCTTAAGTATTTTATCTAAGGTGTTTGAAGCATTATTAAACTTTCCCAATTTGTTTTCTAAATTAGCAACCTTAGCTTTTAGTGATGTACAACTAGAGCATGTAGAAGAAGAAGTAGATGAAGGTTCTTGTGGCCTTTTTCCAAAAGAGATAATTTCTTGTTTAAGTTTATCATTTATATTTTAGAGTTCTTTGACATCATTCTAAAAAATCAGGATTTTTTGCTTTACTTCATTATTTTCTTTGAAAGCCTTTTTGAACATTCCTACAAGTTCTTCTACAATGCAAACTACATCATTAAGAGTTAAAGGATCATTGGGAGAAGGTTCTTGATCACTTACCTCTTTTGATGTTTCACCATCCTCAATGGCCATGACACATAGGTTGGCCACTTCCTCCATTTCCGAGTCTTCACTCCTGGAGCCATCGTTCTCCCAACAAATGTAGGCACGTTGCTTTTTCGGTGCCTTCTTGTCCTTTTTGTTCTTGAGCTTCGGACACATTGGTTTAATGTGTCCAATTTCACCACACCCATAGCACTTGGGTGGAGTGTTCTTCTCCCTTCTTGAGCATCATCTTCTTGAATTTTCGGACGAAGAGTCCGAGGTCGGTGTCGTCGCTGTCATCATCTTCATCATCAACATTGTTGTGGGTTGATGTTGTTACGGGTAGAGCAATAGACCTCTTGCTCCTCTCTTCAACCACCTTTGAGAGTTGGGTGGTTTCGTAGGTAATGAGATTACCTCGAAGAGCATCATAGGTCTTTGTCTGGAAGTCACGACCTTCTTTGATTACGTCCACCTTTGAACGCCATTTGGGGGATAAGCTTCACAGCACCTTTCTCACAAGCTCTCGGTCGGTGTATGTTAGAGAACCTCTCAAACATTTCCTCAATTTTCTCATTTTCCTTCATAGAGAAGAGTTCATACTCGTGAGTGAGGTGGTCGATTTTGGCCTCCCAATAAATCATGTTTATTGCCTTTGCATTGAGCTCCATCTTTTTGCAATCTTCGTCGGTGAACTCCTCTTCAGTTTTGGGGACGTTGACCTCACCGACTTTCTTCATCGGGACTCCACACCCGTTCTTGACTATCAACTCCTCTTCGGTTTAAGAAGTATTTGAAGAACTTCCTGCTCTGATACCAATTGTTAGACAAAAGTGCAACTCTAGAGGGGGGTGAATAGAGTTGTTCGCTAGAATGTGCATAAATCGCGTGTGTGATAATAAGAGAAAAATCGCAGGAAAAATGTAAAGAGCAAGAGAAAGGAGTACACCATGATTTATACTGGTTCACCACCTCGTGGCTAGTCCAGTCCTCTGAGAGACTCTCTCAAAGGTTCTACTAAACTTCAAGCTTCAACGGGTGCTTGAAAAACCGATACAACTCGAGAACTTGAATCACACAAGCCTCAACTTCTCACAACAAGACTTGAGTCACACAAGTCTTAAAAACAACAAGACTTGAATCACACAAGTCTTAGCAACACTCAAAAGATTGAGTTTACAACACAAGAATGAAAGCTCACACAATTGAGCAAGAAGTGTTGAAATATGAAAGCTCTATGGATGACAATATCTTTAGCACTCAATAAAAATATTCCTAACTCTCAAAATAATATATATGATAAGGAAGATGGAAGCAAGAATTGAATATATATCAATTGAGGTTTTAGAGTGCAAGAGATATTTTTAAAATGAAGGAGAATGAGGGATTAAGTAAGCAGAAGGAGATAGAACCGTTGGAGCCACTGAACGAAAATGAGAATTGGAACTAGGTAATATTAATCGATTAAAGTAGAGGGTTTAATTGATTAAAAATAATAGGAAAATCGATTAGATAGCTCTGTGTGAACTAATCGATTAAAGGGAAAAGGAAAAATCGATTAGACCAAAGACCTTAGTAATCCGTCGCAAGGCAAAACTTAATTAATCGATTAATCAATAGATTTTAATCGATTAATCAAAACAAAACTGGGTAAATCAATTAAGGTGAGAATCTTAATCGATTACATTTGAAATGATTCACAAACATAAAGGGCCCAAGCCAGTTGCGAGAAGAGAGTCTAAAATGTCTTAACGCATTTGTTTGAGACAAGAGGAATCAGAGAGAGCACTCCTCTTTATTCAATGAATTTGAATAAGGGAGTAAAAGTGAGTCCAAAAATTTTTTTGTGTCAAACCATATACACGAAAAATATTTAAAGTATATATTTTTCTTACCACAAAAAAATTTGCATATCTTTAAAAAGTATTTTAAGAATTTTTGACACACTATTTTGAAACTGCCTCAGTAAATTATTTTAGACAGAGAAAAATGATTTCTCAACTGACTCAGAAAATAATAATTTTTATCCCTCAAAAATTAATTTGTTTATGCAAAAGTTATTGTCATCCTTACAAAAAATTCCTAGACTCAATAAAAAATAAATAGTCTTCAGAGTCTTCACTTCACTTCAAAGATCTGCGTAGGGGTGAGCGTTGATTTTTATCACCGTAAATTTCTTGATACGTCTCTTTGCTTTTCTCGATACGAAAAATACATTTCTGATCATCGTTGAATTTAATCATCCTGTTTGTCGTTTATCAAAACAAAAATATTCTAGAAAAATAATAAAGGGATTTGAACTCATGTCCAACATATGATCCATCTCTAAAGTAAGCTTTCCTCATGTAGCAAGCCCAAGGAGAGTTACAAGGTTCAACCTTCCACCAAAGTTTACATCCATAAGCCTTTTCAAAGGTCTCAATGTTAGGGATGTTAAGTCTGCCTTCATCCTTAGGTCTGCATATTTTGTTCCAAGAAACCCATGCTTTGTTTGTTCCCCAATAGTATCTGTTGAGTTTGGAATTGATGAGACGCGAGACACTCCTAGGGAGGGTGGTGGAGCCAATGGTATGAATAGGAAGGGTATTGAGGACATGTTTGATCAACACTAGCCTTCCATCTTAAGATAGATTATTCTGTTTTCAACTGTTGAGCTTATGGTCAAATTTTGAGAAGAATTTAAGGTAGTAGGGTAAGTGGTTGATGCCTTCAAAGACTCTTACCCCAAGGTGATGAATAGGGAGGCCAGTACTCTACATATCAAGGAGCAAACTTTGTCTTCTAGCAAGGTTGCTATTGGGTTTGTTAGATATGGCATTGCACTAGGAATTTCTTAATGTCAAGCCCAGACGCAGCCAGAAACTGGTCTAGGAATTTCTTGATTTTGACAAGGTTGGAAAGGGAGCCGTTGGTGAAGAGGAGAATGTCATCTGCAAACTCCAGAAACAACATCTGCTCCTGGCTTGGAGAACATCGTTGATAAACTCCTCAAATTTAAATTAGCCCAAGCTGAAACTTTGAAGCAGCTTTCAGAAGAGCTTACTCAACTTCGAGCTCACAACAAGATGCTTGAAAATCAAATCTCTTGTCAAACATCGACATCTTCAATAAAGCTGACGGGAATGTTTTCGGCTTGTCCAGAAAATCCTAGAGAGCAAATGAATGCAGTCACTCTTTGGACTAGGAAACAACCTCAATTTAAGCCTATTTCGAGTGGTGATCACGAAGAAGAAAGAGAGGAGGATTCTAAAAAAGAATCTCTAATTAAAGTCATCAGAAGAGATGTTCCTGAAACGCTGTCGGATTCATCCCAAATTAAAGAAGGAATGATGAAAGTAAAAGAAGGTTCAGTGAGGAAATACGCTCCACCAATTCCTTTTTTGAATCAACTTATGAAATCACATGTTGAGGAACGAAGAACCAAGTCTTTGAACCTTATCAAGCAATAGTATATCTCTATTCCTTTGCTTGATGTCATCACTGAAATTCTTTAATAATGAAAAATTTCTCAAGGAGATCTTAACAAAGAAAAAAGAAAATCCTCTCACGGTGGCCATGAGTCAAGAGTGCAGTGCCATTGTTCAAAACAAGATCACTCCAAAATTGTGTGATCCTAGAAGCTTTTCATTTCCGTGCTACATTGGAGGATCTAAAGTAAACAAACCGACCACCATGGCGCTACAATTGGCTGACCGTTCAGTAAAGTACCCAATCGGTATTCTTGAAGATATTCCCGTTAAGATTGACAAATGCTATATCCCGGGAGACTGTGTTGTTCTGGATATGAAAGAAGATGCTTGAGTTCCTCTCATTCTTTGGAGGCCATTTCTAGCAACTGTGGGAGCAGTCATAAATGTGAAGAAGGGCACACTCATCCTTGAAATCGGCGATGATAAGATTGAGTTCAATATACAAGACCCAAGTAAAAGGTTGCATGTGTTCTTGATTGTTTTAACGCAAACATCGTTAATTCGTGTACTCTTGACACTACTGAGGAATCAAATTTAATCCCACAAGATTCAATGGGGACACTGAAAAAAGTTGAACTACTCAATCGTGAGGAGGATCTTGTACTTAAAAAAGGAGTGCCAAAAGTAAAGCTCAAATATGTCTCGCGGGCCAAACAATTACATGACAAGGTATTCTCTAAAAGCGATTTTTGTACTAGGAGACCAGGTACTTCTCTTATACTCTCACTTTAAATTGCCTGGTGAAAATAGGTCAAGCTAATGACCTTAAATAAGTGCTTCTTAGGAGGCAATCCAAGTTTTCAATTTCTACATTTTTATCGTTTAATAAGGTAATTGGATTTGAATAAGGCGTTTCACGAATCCAGCCATGTACATAAAATCCAATTTGCCATTTATTAGGGATGCTTACATAAAAGTCAACATCCCAGAACAAGGATGTACACTTATGAACATCGATGTTCTCATGATCGTTAGCCTTTTCAAAAGAAAAGTCAAACCCCCGAAAAATGATGTTTTCTTTAGAACATCAATCTTCATGCCATTTTTCACTGATGTAAACATATTTTATACACTTTTTAGATATAATTTGGAGTAGTTTTAAATCCCATTTTAATTTGATTTCAATATTTTATTTTAATTTTTCGTTTTATTTTGGTAGAGCGGTCCTATGCTAGTTTTATATATTTTGCAGGTATTTTAAGATCATTTGGATGCAATGAGATTGATTGCAAGAACGGAAAATAAACTTGGAATCTTGGGATCAAAATAAAGTGAGGAGATTTGAAGAAAAGAAAAAAACAACAAAGAGCAAGGCTGAGATTCAAATCCGGACCAACGCACCACGTACTCCATTTAATTTAAATCAGCCTCTTGACTTTATAACTTGTTCGTGCTGCGGCCAGGAATATAAGAAGAAGAAAAATGACAAAACACCAACACCGCATGGGGAATCAAACACAGGATCAAACTATGCGACAAACAACACCATTGACATGTGAGCTACAAAATATTTGTTGATTACTGGTACTATTGTTTCTATATACTCCATATTACGAATTTTCATACAAAAATCCCTACCCTCTCTTCTCCAAAAGGTTGAACTTCCCAAATTTCTTATCCTTCCTCGTCATTTCAAAATTTCTCTCTTTTTTCTCTAAATTATCTTCATCTTTCTCCTTCAAGCACATAAAAATTATCACATCTTCATCATCATTCAACTTTTGGAGCTTCAAGAACACATCTTGAAGTTTTTGAAGGATTTTTCTTCTCCAAATTCTTATAAGATATTGTAATTAATATTTATTTGTTTAAGCTTCAAACTATATACTTCTAAATTTCTTTGGGGTCAGAAGTTGGTGTAAAGTCGAAGTAGTTATTATTTAGGTGAACTGCGAGAGTGTTCCTAAATACTCCCTCCGTCCCATTTTAAATCGCCCGTTTTGACTTTTGGGCATATTTAAGAAAAATTAAAAATAGAGCTGATTTTTCGAAATTGCCAATACTTTTTAAGAGGGATGATGAAGCATGAGAATATAATGTGGAGAAGATTGACTTATTTTAGAGGTAGTTTAGGTATTTTATTTTTAAAATTTTACGAAAACAACTAACAGACAACATATTTTGGGACGGAGAAAAAAGGCAAACAGGCAATTTAAAATGGGACGGAGGTAGTACTTCTCTGCACCCCCACACACTCTATATAAAAATAAGTTGACATTCTAACTTTAATTAAAACAATGGACAATTACTTTACCAATTTCTACCTCTAATATTTCCTCATCTAAAAGTTTGTGTTGCTTGAAACTCTCATTTTACACTTTTATTTCATCTCTCAAACCAAAAAGAGCAAAAGTATTTTTACAACCTCTTTCGTTAATCTTGTGTTTTAAATTAAATCAACTCACGTCTCCCTGAGATTCGACACCCTACTTACAAGTTCTTTTTAGTTGTTATTTTTGCCCGTTCTATAATGCAAATTAAGAACTTTTGAATGGATTTCTACAAATCATTTCAATTAAAACCAATCTTCTCCCAACCGTTGCACCTTGTTTTTGGGTATAAAAAAGGGGTCGGTCTCTTGGGTCTACTTTAACAAATAATTCTTCACTATTTTAATACTCTTTCGCTGCATTGATCACATACATTTTCCATAGCTTTTGAGAGCCAAATGCTTGAAGAAATTATCTTGTTCTTAAACGTTCATTAGTTTACTCATATCTACTCTTAAAGAGAGTCTTGTTCTTGAGTGATTAAATATTATATACACTTGAAGGAATGAAGAGAGGTTTGTTCCCTTGATAGTTACGAAGGAAGAGTATATTCCTTCAAGTTGAAGTCTTAGAGTGTAGTATCTCCGAGCAAGCGTGGTTGAGGCTCGTGCGACTCGAGTTCTTAGGTTGTATCAATTTGTCAAGCTCCATTAAGCTTAACGGAGTTAGTAGGACCTTCGAGAGAGTCTCTCGTTGGACTAGATAAGCCACAAGTTCTGGTGAAGCAGTATAAATTCGGTGTGCCCCTTTCTTATGTTCTTTACTTTACTCTCGCTTCGTTTTTTATTTCCTATGATTTTGTTTAAATGTTATTCACCCCCTTTCTTATATATTTTAGTAAAAGAAATAAAAATTAAAATGATAGTGGTAAAAACAAGTTATTTTCAAAGTTTTTATAGTGAAATTTATACTCAAATTGTAGGTCTCGATAATACGAGTTCAACAACGTATTCTGCACGTGAATCAGATTTGCAAAACTCAATGACATCACTACCCCAAGAGCGAAAACACACTAACGTAATAACATAAAATATAACTATGTCATGGAGTTAAAATAACATATTCAATATTGGTGTTTGTTAGGTGATCTCAGAAAAACATGACTATACTTGTCAAGTTTGATTAATTTTCTTTTGATCACCATCCTAATTAATTGTAAAATATTTTTAATTTTTTTGATCTATAAATACCAGCTTCATACCTAATTCAGTTATTAAATTTTTTTTTGTTTCTTCTACTACTTCAATTTAAAGTTTTTATCAAATATTCCTTCAACTTTTTTTTAAAATTTCATTCTCGCAATTTTTAGTTATTTTTGTTCAATGTACCAACGAAATAGTGCAGAGAACAAAAAAAACATAAAACTATTTGAAAACCTTTACGTAATAAAAAAATAGAATCAAATTGAACCAAAGAGTCAAAAATCTAAATTTTAAAATATATGTTGAAGAGAAAAAATTAAAATTTTAAATTTCAACTAACAAAATGTTTTGTTATAAATAAATAAAATTTTTTAATTGAATGAGCAATTTTTCTATGAAGCATTCAAAAATATGTTCTATGGGTCATGAAATAAAAATGTAAATAAAATAAATATTTTGGAAAAAAAACATGATGTTCACATGTTATAGAAGATAAAGAATAAAATTAAAAGAATGATTAGAGTGAGGTGAAAGAAGTTAAAGAAGAAAATGATGACACATTAAAAATTTTATGATAATGATATAGAGATGAATAGGACAAAATCATTAGAGTATCATTAATCACTTTTCTTTATTCTTCTTCCACATCATTCATTTTTGATGTCACATTGTTTCCTCCCACATTATCTACTTTTGATGTCACATCATTTAATTTTTTTAGTGGAAAAGTCAAGTGCTAGTATACATTTAAATATACTAAAAATAAAGCTCATAACACGTTGGATCAATCCGAAACCAATATCGCGCAATAATTCTAAACACAAATCCAAACTTATTCAAATCCAAAGTGATCAAACCCAAATCCGACCTATCTAACTAACTTGTCAACTCTAAATGTATTTATGGTGATACTAAGAAGGTTTGTCATTTTTTTGGATCAACCTTAAATCAACCTAAGAATTTCTTTCCACGGAAAATACCACTTAAGAAATTCCCTTCTTTTTTTTCCTTTGTCACAACAATAATACTATGTTTGGTTCAGAAAATTTGAAAGGGCAAAAGAATGAAAATGAAGTAGAAAATAGTTTTTCATGTTTTGTTGGAGAGGAAAAGTGGAAGGAAAAGAAAATGAGGAGACAAAGTACTAAGTGGAGGGAAAACTAAATTCTTCCCATTTTGGTGAGAAAAATGTGAGAAAATCATTTACTTTTAATTTCCTTCCAAAATCCTTGAACCAAACATAGTGTAAAGGAATACAATAATCAAACTCAGGGAAGTGTCACACCCCAAAAACTAACTATAAAGGTGGGAAACCCCAAGCTACATAAACCCTTCACCAAGTTTCTCATATGACCAGTTAGGGACAAGGACAACATTAAATCATTCCGTAACAAACTCACCATTGAAAACGTTAATGCACACCAACAATATGAAACTTAGCAAACAAAACATGTACGGAGTAAATATTAGGAGAATAGCCAAAACAAAATAACGCATTGCAAGAAATAGATCCTCTATTAGCAGAACACGACAAAAGAATGCAATCTGCCAAGGCAGCCAGAATTCCCACATATTACTCTGTACGTTACATCATACATATGTTTTTGTTAGTGTTTTATTTATAGCACTAATTTAAACAATTCATGTGATATAGTAGCAAAGAAAAAAGATATCTTGTGATATTTTTCTTTAATGATCTTCTCATACTAATGCACATAAGAGCATTGAAATTTAAAAATAAAAGTGGAACAAAAATATATGATAATTAGAATGATGATACAAAGAACAATCAACTTGTTGAACAAAGCTTTCTCAAACCCATTTCTGAAGTGACAAGTCGCAACAATACGTGAACCAGCTCTCTCACCTTGGCTTCCCTGGCCAGATAAAAGTGAAAAAATATCACACAACAAAAAAAAATGATTCCAAAAAAACAAAATGATTAAAGACAAAACATGATCTGCCACACATTAGACTGCACTGCTGGGAACAAATAGGTATCATCTTTTCCACAATTTTGGTGTAAAGGTGAAGCAAATTGTAAAAACAATATGTAAGTAAAAGGTACAAGCCAAAAAGGAAATGAGAAGTTGACTTTGGGACAACAAAAAATGAAAATGGAAAGATTTAATTTTGGGACTGAGTATTACTCAACCCATGAAGTTCTTAAAGAGGGTGATACACCGAAAATTGAGTTTCATTTACATATATCAGAAATAGCTAGGAATGGAATTGGGTACAAAAAAGTTTTTTGTACAATTGTTCATGTGGGATCTATACTGCAAACGAACAGAGATGTAAAAGCATGGTAGTGGTCACTCAGCCACTGAAGACAAGGTAAGAATTAGACTGCATTGGTTAAGGGTTAATCATGATTGTTATGAATTATGTGTTCCAGCACAAATAATTGTAGATTTGTAGGATGAAAAGGTCAAGGATCGAGAGAAAAATATGTATTCCAGTACAGAATTGTATTATTTTCAAAAATTCTCCAGAACTTTTGAGTTTCTATCATAACAAACATCCCCATTTTCTCTTTAATTTGGGATGTTTATGGAAAGCCCCGGCTATGAGTGGCTGGTCCCAACCCGGGTAAAGGACAAGGGTTGCGGTAGTCTAGTGAAATTTCATCATATTTTATGAGATGAACCAAGATAAGAATTTTGTTGCAGTATTCCCTACACAGAGACGTGTTACACTTCTTAGACCAGGTTGTAGTGTTATGGGCAAGGGATGCTAGATTGTCAACCAAAAAAGTATCGCCATATGATCACCTGGAGTGATGACGTGGTGCCATGTAAGCAAGGGTTCTCTCATTTTTGGACGGACGTTTGAAAATAAAGTTCTCATTCCTTTAGAAACATTGAATGGTTCACACATTATTTCTCTCTCGTCCGCATAAATTTCAACCACATAATCTGATTTTTTTCTTAAACACCGTGGAAAAACAAATGTAAATTTGAATTAAAAAATTTTACTTTTTCTTAATTTCTGTAAAAAGCAAATAGGACTTTATTTTGTGATGGAGGAAGTACCATTTTACGGGTTTTAGGGTCTAATTCATGCAAGTTTGTGGTACTGGTGTGATAACTCTCCGTATCTTTTGTTATCTAGCTTTTTATAACTGAACTGCATACATTGACGTTGATTGTCATTTTTCGGAAAGGGAGACAACAAGAAATCGGTACAATCCTAACTCAGTTGGGATATGGAGAGTCAAGACTCAAAATGTAGGCAGCCTTACCCCAACAAAAGCTTAAAAAAAGGCTGCTTCCATTAGACCATTGATGCATTGCTGCATTCACCACCGAGAGTCCAAGAACATCACAGAAGAAGCAAAGTGAGTTTTAAAACTTTTAATTTGCCATTGTGATTTTTAGTACATAATTTACCCAAAGCAAATTGACTCTTTTAGCTCCATTGGCAAAGATAAGTAAGACCATAGAAAAGATATGAGTTTTAATGACATCAACAAGGTAAGCCTATTTACCTGATTGTACAACAACCCAGTAAAATCACATGAAGGTAGGGTCTAGGGAGGATGTGTGTATGCAAACCTTACCTCTACTCGGAAGCAGAGAGGCTGTTTCCAAGAGACTACCGCTATACTACTATACTACCCAACTATCTTAATTCTATCTCTCCAAACACTCCTATCTGAGGTCATATCCTTGATAAGGGAAAAAGGTCTAGGGTCTTAGCGAACCACCTCTTTCCATGTCCTCTTCGGTCTACCCCTTCCACATTCCCGCCAAGCACTCGAAGCCTCTCACATCTCCATACAAGAACCTGAGCACTACGTCGTTTCACGTGCTTAAACCACCTCAGTCTAGCTTCCCACAGCTTACTCTCCACAGAAACCACTCCCACCCATTCCCGAATAGTATCGTTCCGAATCCTATCCAACGTCATGTGCCCACACATGACACATCAAATGTAACATCCATATCTCCACAACAACCTGATTGTATACTATGAAAACATATGGAGTATAACAAACACATCTTCCTAGTTTGATTTATAACACTCTCCTAGCTCACTTTAGAGAACATTCAGAAATTCCAATCTTCTTACTTACCTATGTAATGGTATGTTCTCATATCTCGCACTCCCCCCTTTCCTTTTTCTCATTCATCAAGACATTATCCCTCATTTCAAGTATGGTTCATATTATCTCCTATATAAACATATACCACTCTATTTTCATTTTGTTGAATATCGTGTCATGGCCCGTGAGATGATTTATTAATCATAGTTTTTATATTTGTGTTCCAGAGACTACAAGTCAAATTTGACGAAGTAGAATCATCTTTAAGGCTTAAGCACGAGAACCAAAGTCTAGGTACTAGCAATTGGATCCAATCTAACAAGTCACACATTCATTTTTCGAAAATAACATAAATAAACAAATATGACGTGGTGTAATTGAAAAATTGAAAATAAAAATAAAATAAATGTGTTGAAAATTTGAAAACGCTTTTCCTATAAAAAGCAAAGCCAATTTTAATAGCTTTTAATTTATTGAAATTCCATCTGATATAACAAAAGAAAAGGAGAGGATATCATTTTTATATACTCCCTTTAATGAAGTATACACTTTCCCCTTTCCTGTGTCTATGAATAGGCCTTATACTTCTCCTATTTCCTCGTTGAGAAAATGAATGTGTAACATAACATTTCTCTATCATCTAAAAAAGTTCAAAACACTTTCACATTTCATATCTCTATGAAGCCAAATAAAGTTAGATAATATAATATTTAATGTAATATTGTAATATTGAAGAAATTTCGATCACCCAAATATTAGGTTATGCCTACATTATTTGCCAATGGCTAATTTATAACGTGTAGGTACATACTTTGAAATAAAAAATAAATATATTCACATGCGGTGGAGTTAGTCATCGATGTTACATGTATAGTTCTCTATTTTTTCTCTCTATTGTTTTTTGTGTTCCTCATCATGACCATGTTTAGGTGTTTATTGATGTTAACATAAACTTCATTGCAGGATGGAGGAAGTATTAGAACTAACACACATTTTCTTACTATTTTCATCTCCTACTAAACTTTATATTGTTTCCACTATCTAGCGGGTGGCAACTTACTAATCTCACGCAGTAGCATCTAAATGTGGTAAATAAGACTTGCATAGGGCATGGACCTTTTTGCTCTTTTTTTCTTGCACATATTATTTAGTTTTGTATTTACTATACTCTTCATTACATTAAAAATTATAAATAACGATGTTGCCATAATACATTGACAAAGTGTACATGATATGTAATTGCCTACAATTTATCAATATAGATGAGGGGGTACTAGAAACAAAAAACAGAAGAGAGGTACTCTGACCAATTAAATATTTTGACAATGGCTGATTTGTTGTTATGGAGAAAATACTACCAAATTTTATTGCTCATCAAAAACAGGTTTAGATATCAAAAATAGCCATACCATACACAATATGTAGCCCTTCCAAAGAATTAAGTACTAGTATTCCATTTTAGAGTAAGTTGTTCCTTCGTGTGATGAAATAATTCACGATTTTAAGGGTATTTTTAATTCAATTACTTATTTAGAGTAGAGAGAATAACTAATGTATGTTTGACAATGACAATGGAATATAAATTGAATTATTTTTCCTCATTTAAGTCAAGCATCCATGGATACCCTTTGACTGGACTGTGAACTATTCACAATCCATAAATGAATTATGTATTTGTGAAGTAATAGGCATACCTTGATATGACTAGTTCACTAAAGGAAGGGAAAAGAACGATCAAATGCAAATGGTTTGCACGATTCTCCTGTACAAGGCCACTCTTTAATTTTGGGTGTAAAGGAAGAAATGATGCACTATCTGATTGAAGAACAAGACAAGCCAGCTCCTGGAGAACAAAAAGAACTTCTTCTAATCTTGCTGCAGGCAGTGGACAATCCCCTAAAATTTAAGGTTTCAAGGTATGACACAACATAAATGGGAGACAAATAATTCAGACCATGGCGTAAGTAAATGTTTTACCTAGTTCATTCTCATCCTTCAAAAATTTATCTAGTATATATTCACATCTGATCAACAATGTTCCAATTGAGATTTTGCTAACTTCGGAACTGGTTGAATTTTGGTCGCTTGTTCTCTGCCTGAAAATAAGAGATCATCAAATCAGTAACCATTAATATTGGCCCGGCATTATTTATCAAAAGCAGTTTCACATGTACCTGCTCAACAAAAACAACTTCTGCAAGCAGGTCAATGAAAATTTAATGCAATGTGG